GTTCATCTGTTATCCAAGGTTTTTGAACTGATTCGCTCCTCATCCTGTCGAGTTCTTCTTGTGGCTGGATCAGCCTTGGTTTCCACTCCTTCAGTATCTTCAGGAGTGTCAACCTCTTTCCCTTCTTCTCTGGCCATCTCTCTTCCATGAGTCTCAATCGGATATTTTTCATCTGGTAGTCAACATTATTTGACTTCGTGCCTAGCTTTTATGTCGTTCATTGCACGACATGAGGGATTGACATCTTGGGTGGCATCCTTATTAATATGGTCCATTCGGTGTTCTTCTATGAAAGATTATGAACAGAAATGGTTAACTTATCATCAGTGGTCTCTCAGACATGGATTTAACCTTTCTCATCCCACTGTGCCACAGGTCTTTCAATTTCTGATATTGTTATTCAAGAAAGGTTTAACATTTATTGCCCTCTATAATGCTACCTTTCGTTTTTCTAAGAGAACAACAGTGTTTGAGCCCCAGGTTTTGTCATTACTTCTGAAATATTTTCAGGTTATCCATCTTCATCATCCTTTCTAGGTTCCTAATTGGGATATCACAGTGGTTCTCTGTGCCTTATCTCATCCACCTTTTGAACCTTTAGACTTATGTTCACTATATCATCTTTCACTTAAGACTTATTTTCATGTGTTATTGGCTAGAAGGCATTTACATTTGTATGTTTTTGCACTTCATATTCACAGGACTCTTTACCATTCCACTTATGTTTGGTTGTATCCAGATAGCTCTTATTTATCTTCATTCTATCTCACATTTATACGACCTCTCGAATCATGATAATCTTTTATGCCCAGTTCGGGCTCTCCAAACTCATGTGGCACACACTTATGTGTTTCAGATCTCATATCACTATTTGTTTTTCCACTGGGATCCTGCTGTGTCATGTGACTTATCCCCTGTCACATTGAAAGCTTGAATTAGTCAGTTGGTTTATGGCTTACTACAGACATTTGTTGGAAGAGTGGAGACTTCTTTGTGTTTTATCTCATCAAGTTCAACATATCACGATGTACTTGGCAGCTTAGTTGCATCACCCACTGGAGGAAATTGTACAGGCTGGTATGTGGACCACACCCAACACCTTTATATCACAACAATATTTACATGATTTAGCAGTTTCCTCCTTGAATGGGTTTTGGTTACCCCCGTGATTCTCCTCTATACCTCAGCTTGATTGATTTCTTTTGTGTTATTCTTCTCCTTTTCATGGATCCCTTCATCATTATCATTTGGATCCTTCTCAGTGTTGAGATTTGCCTGGTCAGGTATGCTTTTTTCAAGTCCACACTAACTACCAGCAGATTCTGGTAGATACGAGCTCTGTTGAGATGGGGTGTTCCATAAAACCACCTTGGCACTTTCCTATTGGTGCACAACTATTCAGTACTAGTACATAATATATAACACAGGACTGCCACTATCAAGAGTAAAGCATAAACAGATTTTGCTCATCCCTGCTGACCCCTGGATTAAATAAATTGGTGTTGGTTTGCCTTTCACAAAAGGAAACATGTTTCATCTATTGTACCATTTCCAGAGCATTGTTCCTTGGCACTCCTCAACACAAATTTTCTCCTATTTCTCCATAGGGAAGCATGGAAGTTTTTAACATTCCAATTTTCCAGTCACTGGAGTGGTGGACAGAGGTCTATTCCTCCAGAGTAATGTTTCAACACTATTCCACTCAAGGAGAAGAGGACAAAGCTGGATACCCTCCCACACATAACCCTGGATAGTTTTCCCATATGTCTGTGAGAGCACGACCAGCCTATGCAGTAGCCTCCTTGTAAATCTGGTTGTTTTGAGCATGGCCCTTCTTTTTGGTCATTATATTATTTTCCATGATCATGGAAGAGGGTCCTCGACTCTATATAATTCCACACGCAGAGTGTAAATTCTTGTGCTATTGGTTGAACTTCATTTGTTCCACATCCTCCTCATAATTATGGGGGAAGGAGTGTTACCTTGTCTCTCAAGTTGGGGAGTTAGAATTTAGGCTTGTGATCCCAGGCTGGATGATATTTGTTTCTTCAGGTTGAATGAGATATGACAGGTCCTGTAATTCAGAGTTCAGTTTGTTGCATTTTGTGATTCTTCAGGTTGTGGTGAGGGTTTATCCACTTTTGTGTTGCTTGCCTTCTCTTCATAATTCCAGTGGCTCAATATGCAACATTCTGTAACTTTCAGGTTGGGTTCTCTTAATATCATATTACTTTAGTTCAGTTATATCACACTGCAGTCTGTGTGTCCTAGCCACTACAGATCTAGCTTTATGTCCACAGTCCTATAATTCAAACGACGAGACATGGAACCTCATCTGCATGGTTGAGGTCTGTATGATTCTTGTGGAGATACACAATACAATATTTCCAGACCAGATGCATCTGGTACTGCAGGAGGAACCAGTTTTGGAATAGATATCCCTCCTTGCATGTTTCTTCTCACAATGTTATGATTTTAACAATATGGCCAGTTGGCCTTTACTGCCCACACCTTAGATTTCACATTATCCGGGCAACGAGTATACCTGTTCTAGAAGTCGTGCTGAATCCACTGCTTTGCTATACGATATCTGAATTTGCATGTTTTTTGTGTGGATCTTGCCCTCACCAACCCCTCCACCTTGTTAATGTAGGATGTGTTTTGGAAGTTTAAATTTTCCTATACCAAAAATGTATTTCTGATAATACTTACCTGCTGTCACACTATCCCACCCTTCCTTCCCATGATGGCTGGTGCTTAGGTTTGATAATTTACCAGTCTTGAAAAAGTGAATAAGAAGTAACAATAGGGAGCTTGTATACATATCTGGTATAGAGGACGCATTGATATAGGTGAAGAGACTCGCAAGATTAAAATCACTAGGGGTGATATAGTGGGATATAAAAACTGGAGCAAATGAGGTATAATTTATACCAATGCTTAAATGGGCAGAGAAAAGAAACTTTCATTGGGATAAAGCTAAAGTGTGAAAGGAAATATTAATTCTAAAATATCAGCTCAGTTGAATGGACTGACCCTATGCACTTAGATTTAGTGTTAGCTTTTTTGCAATACACTAGCCTATTCTTTTTTTTTTCTTTTTTAATCCTGAAAATATCAGTGGAATAAAAATTCTTATTATGAATACCCTGATGCTGCCTGGCCAGTGAAGCAAAATGATGTAAACAAACATCTGGAGAACTGTTTAAAACTATTCTTAAAGGAACATACTTAGTTGAATACAATGCATTTTAGGTGTAAAGGTTATTGAAAGATTCTCTATACAAATATTTTACCTGATAATCACCTCTAGGTAAAATAACTAAGGTATAAAGGATATTGAAATATTGTCCAAACAGAAATTATTAACTGATAATGACCATTAGTTGAAAAATGGAAAACTCACTTGGGTGTAATATCATGTTCTATAGGTGTAACGGTCATTTAAAGATTCCTCATATAATGATTGTTAACTGATAATGACCATTAAGTGAAAGATTAAAAACACTTTGATGCAGTGAGATTCTGTATGTTTAAAGGTTATTGAAAGATTCCTTGTACATTAGTCCCTTGTGGATATAACCCCTCTCAATAATGACTTCCTTTTAAATACAAACATTTTTCTCTGTACAGAATGATTTTACATTGATCTGACCTCCCACGAATGACTTCCTGACAGATGCACCATACAACTATGATTTTTGAGCAGAATGTTAGATAACGACCTCTCTATATAGACTTTTCTTCATATCAATAATGTGATTAACAGAGACACATGAATACAGTGTATACAGTGGGGGAAAAATAGGTCACATGACCAGAGATTGCTTCACAGCTTGGTATATGTATCTTGGTACCATGGGATGTTCAAATGAAATTCCTTGGTACATACACATAGGTATTTTTGTTTTAAAACTTTCATGTCCTGAAAGGTAACCAGGGGTGGTCAGAAACTGTTGTTTGTCTTCACCCTGCTCACAGAATTAAGGTTTATTCTTTTAGTGAATGTAGTAGATTTTGAACTAGTGTCCTAGATGTTAAGTTATTTGATCAGGATTTACTAGTGGGGTGTGAAGGTTATTAACTTTTGGTTTGATGAGTGACAGACTTGACTAATGTATGCTGTGCAGTAAGCATGGCTAATGAAATGCCTTAAGTCATCTGGGAAAGCTGCAAATGGGAACAGGAAATTTCTGTGAAAAAGAAGGCTTGAACTTGCCACCTCGAAGTGTTGATATGGAAACATGATATGGATGTTGATGTAGACCAAGGCTTTGATGAAAGTAACCAGTTCTAAGTTATACATGATCTATTAAACAAACTTGGAAATTTGAGAATTTTTAGTCAACTTGAAATTGTTTTAATACAATTTTCTACCTTATTTGATTACCTATACACTATATATATATATATATATATATATATATATTATACAGTGTACCAATTTGCTACATTATCTGACTACCTATATAGTATATAAACCATTATGCTCAACCCCTGGGAATAGCATCTGGCACAACTTGAACTCAATCACTCGTTATCTGGTTATTGATCCTTTGAATAACGACTTCCTGTCAGATGCAGCTATTTTATCATGGCAGATAGGTTGATTGTATCTAAGGTGGACTACTGTATAGTGATGGTTAACTTGATAATGGCCGTTAGATACAAGATGAAAAACACTTGAGTGTAATATCATGCAGCAAAGTACCTTGTGTGTAAAAGTTATTGAAAGTTTCCTCATATAATGATTGTTAAGTGTTAATGACAATTAGGTGAAAGATGAAAATAAGTTGAGTGTAACATCGTGCAGTTAGGTTTTATAGATGTAAGGGACGTAGAAAGATGATCTTTTCAAAGGTTATTAATTGTTGATATTATGTAATACATATTTTAAAGGTAAGGGTAAGTTAAGGATGCTGTATGAAGATTCTTAATTGATAATAAACACTGTTTGAAACAAACAAAATGAATGATATCAAGTAATGTGGTTTTTCTAGGTGTAAAAGTCATTGAAGGATGCTCTGTACAGAGGGTGTTAACTGATGATCACCACCAGTTGAAAGGAGTAGAAACAAACTTGGGGGTGATATCCTGTGATTATTTTGTCAATAGTGGAGGCTGGGTTAGTATCAGTGATCTTCTTGAATATTTCTTTGGTATGCTTAATGTTAACGTAGTTATACTTTAATATAATGACTTCCAAAGACATGAAAATTTCTCAGTAATTATTTTGTGTAAAAAAAAGAGTGACTATCTCTATGGATGCTGCTGCCAGAAGAAACAGAATCAAGACAACTCATCAGATTCACCATAAGAAGGAAATGCTATCTCCATGATCAACCTATGTATCCTTCACTGCATATGTCATGAGGTTTTATTGACTTGCATTCAAAATTTTATTAAACTACTTTTTGTTTGTTATACCAATTAGTACAGCATAAACTCGAAGCTAATAATCCATATTTTATTAGTATATAAGTTTAAAGTTCTGAATTTCATAAGGCAATATTTAAAAAAATCCTGAATTTCCTCTAGTATGAAAAATGTGACATATTTTCTCTCGGCATCCCCTCTTAAATTACACACTATTAAATTGTCACTGCTCAGACAAACCATAATTTGTATAGCTTTCAATTATATTTGAGTACAGAGCCATCAATTAGAAATTCATAAGCCTCTTGCCACACCCACCTGACACATCCTCTCTTTCAGGATTTGCCAATAGTTCTCTCTTACGTTTCATTGTATATTATGTATAACCAATAGAAAGCCAGGGTTTTCATTTATCAAATGACGTATCATATTGCATTGTTTTTTGAATGGAGAATTGTTAATTTCTCTGTTAGTACAAGCTTTGTTCCCACAGGAAAGTTAACGACTAGCCTGGATGAATTTGTAACAGCTCTTGTTGCATAGTTAGAAAGCCAGAAAAAGTGTGATAGTTAGGGGAAATTGTTTGTTTTTGTGTGTTATTATCCTATGTTCTTTGTTGCATTATTTAATTAAGTACAAATTTAGTGTATTACTGCCATTAGTATAAAATAGTTGGATTAAGTGTCATTGACTGTTAACAGGAAAAACAAATGACCTAGGTAAGTACTTTATTTCTTGTTTTTTATATCTATTCTTTATTTATTATTATAAAAGTAACTAAAATGTAAAAATAAGGATCTCTTTAGGTTAGTTAAAGTTAGGTTAAGTAAAATAAATAATAATATAATAAAAATGTTTCATGAGGTTCACATGCGAGCAGATTGTGGCCAATGTCTTGTTAATTGAAACCTAAAGTAATTGAATCAGCCTGTGTGGACTCTTGACAAGAAAAGAGAATTATTTAGAGTTTTAGATAAAACTGTGATTTTCTATAGTGTAAAGAATTTTTGTGTATACATTGGACTTGTTTTGAATATATATATACTATTTTAAAACTGGTGGATTGTGTGCTCTCCATTTATTGTCCATATTTATTGCCAACAAGTCACAGACACCTACTGTAGAAGAGTCCCAGCCCTCTTATATATTTAAAACCCAGAGTACTTTGTAGTGTGGAGGTATGATCAGTGCACGTGTCACAGAGAAATTCATATCATTAAGGATAATGTTTTATCCCTGCTTAACACCATTTTTCTCCTAAGATATAATATTTATCCATTTTTTAACATTTCTAAAAAATTACAATATATATTTATTTTAAGTTTAAACACATTTGGGTATTGTAAGTTGTTGTATATTATTTGTATTACACAACAGTGCAGATTTATGAAATCCAATTGTAAAAGCATTTTTTATTCTTGTTTTTCATGTAGGTTTCAATACATTTCCACACTGTTTGTCATCATATTGTAACTATTTGTACCTTTTCAATCATAAGTCCCGAAAGTTTCTTTTTTTTCCCCCATCCTTTCTGGATCAGATCCAGATGAAATCTGTTTGAATCTTCAACTATAAAGAGATGAACATGTAAATCAGCAAGTCACATAACAACCACGGCTGATATTAAGTCACAGTGGATTGGTGTGTTGCAGAATTACATGCTGACATTTTGTAAGGAGTGTGATGCCATGGAATACTGATTGCTTTTTGGAAGGGTATGTAACAGCCCTTTTTGACACAAAATATTCATACATTCAGAGCATAAAGATATGTTCAAATCAGGGATTTAGAATTTCTAAGACAGAGATATCTCTTGCATTGAAAGACAAAGGAATATGGATCAACTTGTACACCAGGACCATTCAGAAAGAGACCCATAACAAGTGATAACCCAGGTGTGGTAAGAGAACTGCAGTGTTTTGTAACAGGTGAGAATCCAGGAATACATAACTCAGTGGCAAAAGCCATCCACATGCTCCATACAAAAGCATGTAACATAATCAGGAAGGATGTCTACCAGGAAAAGCAACACAAGTCATGTACAAAAGTTTCATTTACAACATATTTGCTCAATCTTTTCATACTTGAAGCAGCTATAACAACCCTTTTGACACAAAATATTCGTACACTCAGATCATAAAGATGTGTTCAAATGAGGGATTTAGAATTTCCAAGGCAAGGAAAACCAAAAAAAAATAGTCAACTTGGGGCATCAGAACCATCTATAAAATGACCTGCAGCAAGTCATTCTCTAGCTGTAGTAAGCAGAGTGCAGCATCTTGAAAGCAAGTGAGAATCCACAAACATGAAAATCATTGAGAAAACTTGTTCATATGACCCCTGAAACAGTATGTAATGTAATCAAGAAGGAAATAGATCTGTAAATATTGGCCTATAAAAATATTTCATTCCCAAGGATTGATGATGCATTTTTTTCAATCCTAACAAAATATTTTTAGTAAAATAATAATATAGCCAATTTAACATGAATACTGCTTCTACTAAATTTATCTATTCCAAATAACCACAGAAACATCAAAACTTTTAAAAATATCATAAGTTTCAATTATTTGAAAGTTCTATATACCAATTTGAAATTTTGCTTACCAAAGAAATCTTCTGAAAGCTCACATCCAACAACCTTAACTTCAGTGAAAAAAAGTGAAAACCATATTTTTGGAATAAATTGTATTTTCTCAAAAACTTTTGGTACATTTCTCTGTGTTACTGTATAAACCATTGACAAGCAAAATGTTATACACTAGAGCTCTCTGTCATGGTTGTGCTTCAAAGCTGGACATTCCCAGCACGCTACTGTCAAGCAAAACACCAAACCAAAAGAAGAGTATAAAATGACACTAGTGTGTCTAAAGCTCTCCAACAGTAGCTATGCCTAATTAACTTCATAAAATTCCTTAAAATAATAACTTTGTATGTTGTTAATATTTGTACAGTATTTTATTGTAGGTCCAGTGATATTAAAACAGATCATGCTGTTCATTTACTTATAGTGGGCCAGACATATTGGCAGGCTGAGTCAACCAAAAGTTAAAGTTCCACTGTATCCATGTGAACATCACTTTCTGCACACTTTACCTGTGAAGGATATTGATCCACAAATGCCAGGTATGCAAGTTTTTGTGAAATTTAAATAATTACAAAGTTCATATTAATTCTAAGTCAGCATTTTCTAATACACAAAGTGGCTACAGATTTATGGCATGTACTGTGTTGCTGATACGTTATGTTTCCCAGACCTAAAATGGGAACACATTTCCAGGATTTGCAGATTTTTCCACTACTTGCCCTATGTGATATTACTTCTGTATATAAGCTGTTAGATGTGTGTGGTTACCTGTATATGAAATTTCTCTCCAATATTGCATAGCATTTTTGAAGTTTTTCTATAGGAATGACTGTTATGCAGGGGTGAATTTACATATCTTTATCATAACATAGGTGTTTGTTGAGGTTGATGTAGCCCAAGATCTTTCCTTAACCTGATCCAACATATATTTGAGGAGATAGGATTTGTGGCATATACACCATGATCAGGATGCCCACCTGCACCTGTGGATGTTGTTGCAGATATTCAATAAGTGTCACCAGATTAGGTAATCCCCAAGAAAAATGTAACACTAATAAGTTGCATGGTCTACTGATAACATAATGTTACCCACCTTGCACAAGAGAGGCATTCAGCAGGACCTGTGTGCATGCATGGTGATGCACCATTACATGTTACTAATGTTGTGAAGAGCTAGCAATGCAATTCTTTTTGTGAACAAATCATCAGTAGGAGATTACTGCATATTTGATCACCATGGTCATGAGAACACAATTCAGTGACACATTCTTACCATTCACAGTAGTTAGTTGTGTGAATCTATGTATGAATGATTGTGGACTCTTACCATAATGAGTTCAACCAATTCAGCAAAATGTTACAGTTAGTTTCGTTAACTCGATTTGGCTGTTTCTAATTTTACTGTCTTCTGTAGTATTTGCACTTATGTTACGCACTATGTGTATGGTATGGTTTGGGAGTTCTAAGCAACAGGGTAAGTGAAGTTACTTTATAGTCATCATGTCTACTGACTGAGAAATAATTGTATAAGAATTGAAGTACTTTCAGTTTCTAAGATATGAATTTGTTGTATTTCTCTGTAATGAAATTTATTTTATCTTTGTAGAAGTCATTTAACAAGAATCACTATTAACAGAATTGAGGAAAAACAAGACAGTTTTACGTTTCACAAGTACATCATTTATTACGACTATGGTTTTGCCAGCAAAGGCATCATCAGGTACAGTCTGAAATGTTTTGTAGCAGGGTTTATATATATATATATATATATTTAAACTAAGATCTGGAAGTGGTCTCAACATTCATCTAGAGATGAGT